ATGATAACTTGCAGAATATTTCTTGTTAGGGCAGGGAGGTTAATTTTCCATCTTATGAATATAAATCATACTATGATTGAAGGCTGAACTATACCTAACATACTTCACAAAACAAAGGTAGAAAGTACTAAGGAATATTGGGGTTCTTGTGTAGGGGTTCAGGGCAAGCCGCTGTAGAAATATATTAATTTGTTGGTTGAGTTCATTCATTCATTCATCCATCCATCTTTCTTTTTCTTTTTTCTTTTTTTTTTTTTTTTTTTTTTTTTGGAGACAGAGTCTCTGTCTGTCGCTCAGGTGTGCAGTGGCATGATCTCGGCTCACTGCCACCTCTGCCTCCTGGGTCCAAGTGATTCTTCTTTCTCAGCCTCCTGAGTAGCTGGGACTACAGGTGTGCGCCACCACTCCCAGCTAATAATTTTTGGTATTTTAGTAGATGGGTTTCACCATTCTGCCCAGGCTGGCCTTGAACTTCCGAGCTCAGGCCATCTGGCTGCCTCGGCCTCCCCGTTCATCCATCTTTCTACCCAGCCATCCCACATCTGGTGAATGCCCTTTGCCTGGCCCTATCCTAGGCATCTAGGATACAGCAGGGCACAAAACAGACATGTCCTGTGGCAAATTGGCTGGTCTTGAGAAAAAGAGGCAACAATTCACTTGATAAAGAATATAATGTTTATTATTAAGGAATAGAAGTGATTTGGGAGTCCAGATTTAACATTTATGCTCACACTGACATGCTATCGAACCAAATAGTAATTTGAAAGGTGGTAACAGAATTAATTTTGGCAAGTAATATGCTGAAACTTGTGGTTATTTTAAAATTAGTATATTAAAATCTCTAAACATTCCAATTTATTTTAGGGAAAAGCAGTTTTTTTGTGTGTTGGCTTGAAAGCAGAAAGAAAACCATCAAGCACCACCTATATATATTTAGTTAACAACTCTAAAATCTGATTTTTTTAATCCAAACCTGTTTTCCTCAGTAGCATTCAACAAATATTAGTGTAAACATTCTGAACATAGTCATTGTAGACTTGGTTCAGAAGCGTATTTGTTGCCTGCCTTTAAGGACTCCCCTGGGAAACATCTTCTGCACCTAGAGATAAGCCTCGGCTGACTCCATTCTTGCTGTTTCACTGTTTCCCGAAGCTAGCTTTTCATTAGAGTCCATAATGGTTGCTGTATTTCAGATAGTAGCAAAATATGCTTCAAATTGTAACAGAAATCCAGTCTGTCTTTTGTGCACAGTTTAATATGGGCTCTATGTAACTTAAAAGATTATATAATTCAAAAAAATGGGTACAACTAAATGTCCCCCGATTTGGGCCATCTACCCTCTGGTTATCTCCTCTCAAGTTGCTCTTCTTTGTCTAGGCTTTCTGTTAATCCCAATTTTACCGAATTTCTCTTTGTGGCACCCCCTTCCACCTGTTTAAGTAGCATTGGCAAACCCCGCTGGTGGCACTGAGAAGTAGAAACGTTGCTGATGCTTGGTCTTTGGTACAAAGATAAGGTCTGGGATCCCAGCAGGGCCTCTCCGTGGTGGTATTTGCTGTTCCTGAACCTCTCTGTGACTGGAGAAGGGTGTGCTTCCAGGGGGCGCCCACCGAGGGCAGCCGTTGTTCAGTAAGTTTGGGAACCACAGCTAGATCCTTTAATGCATGAATGAAGAAAGCATTAGGAGTTGAGTCGTATCGGCTGTGTAATCTGGAATCTGTGGAATGGCACAGAAGCCGTGTATTTTTAATTTTTTAGAACGTTTTTATAGTCCCACACTGTTTTCCTAAACAGCTCTTCAGGGCATGGAACACAGCCTGCCTTTTTGATCTGAGGAACTGTCATGGTTGGGTTCTTCCTGCTTTTTATTGAAAGTTACCTATGATATAGTTAATCTGGTTTTAGTATTTATACATGCTTCCTGAGTCCTTTGCTTATTGGGTTTTTTTTTTTTTTTAAATGGAAATGAGATCTAAAATAATACCTAAGTGACCAGTCACCACAATAACCACAAACTCAGTTTCTTTGTGTGGTTAGTTTTATATGTTTGCCCCTTTTATATTTTCTTTTCTGTTTTCAAAGTATTAATTGATTGTTTAAATAAAATTAACATCTTTTTCAGTGACGGTCTACAAAAATATAGTTAAACTGGTTAGAATGTATATTCTGGTCTATGCGTGGGCATGTACCTACATCGCAATAAAAGTGAAGCACCTTTTCACATCAGTTTCTCATTAATTATATGCTTTTCTTCCTCTAGAAAAACTGAGTCTTCCTTAATTTGGGGGGAAACTGAGGGACCCATAGGTTAACATAACTACAGCTCTGAGAAATGAAAGGTCACATGGGAGTGAGTCTGTGACTCATAGTGGGACATAGGAAATTGAGACATTCGTTGAGTTCTGTGTTCTGTACCCTGCTTTCAAATAAATATGCTATTCCTCCTGTGAGGTGGCCTGGAATATGGCAGCCCTCACTTCCATCTTCCACTCCACTGTGGGTATCAGTAAATACGTGTGATTCAGAAAGTTAGCAGTAATTGTCAAAAATGCTTTGGAATGATGACTCAAGTCATACAAGCCTCTATTGGGATATCAGCATTGGGATCAGGACATTCTTCTTGGTGATGGCTGTGTGACTCACAAGTAGTGTAGGAGCCAGGGCTGCAGTTGGTGGTGACATTTCTCTGTCTGAGGGCCTTGTTGTGTCCTGGTCATGACATGTGTGGGCGTGGATGTGGGAATGGTAGGAAGCATGCGTTTTCTCATCTGAGCAACAGAAGTGGAATCCTCCCTTCAAATACCTGTAGATAGGGATCTACAGCTGTCGCTTACTCCTTCCTAGTATTTGTCTATCATGTGATCTGTCTCCTCCTCATTTGCCCGGGTCCCATAGCACTTCGTGCTGCCTATGAACATTCCATAATCTGCCTTGTTTTATCGGTGTTTGTCAGCTTGTCTCTCTGAGGGTCGCTGGCGAGCCTTAGTCCTCTTTGCATTGCAGTTGCCCCTGTGCCATCTGTGTCCACGGCAGCCACAGCAGATGAAGTCAGTCTTTGTAGACACATTCAGTGAGTTACAGTGACTGGCAGTGAATTGCTGACTAGATTGCATCCATTCAAGAGTTTTGAAGGAACCTGAGGTTGAAATTGCAGAACTCTTGGCTCAGATGTTTTGCCTTTTATAAACAGCCGCTGTTTTCAAAGCTTGGTGGGTTGCCAGCACAAAGCATGGTACATTGGAAAGGAAAATGGCCTGGTGCTGTGGAGGCCCCAGCTTGGTCGAATCTCCCCATAACTGGCTGACTAGTTCCACGCAGCCTTCCTAGGACCTCATGATCCTCAGCCAGATGAGTTTGCTGTGAAGTCTGTGGTGATTGTCAGTGTCATAGTTAAATCTCATTAAGCTGGGTTCCTTACACACGTGGATGTATTCTGTGGACAGGAGTGATTTACATTAAGAAATCAGATCACACCGCTGATTTATTCATTCTTTGTTTCTATGAATGGTATGTTGTAGAGACTGAATTTTGCTATATTCCTCCCGAAGGTGTTGATTGGGTTGCTGCTTGTTTGCCTGCTTTAGCAGGCATATAATTTGGCCTGACCCACATGTGACTACACATTCTGTGTCTCTGCAGTGGGTAGCAACTCAAATTTTGATTTAGATCTTTAAATCCTTAGCAGGGCTGCTTGGAATTCACCTGGTTTTGGTTTTAAAAGCTCCGCATTGCTTAGATGGGGCCCTGCCCTCAGGCTAACAGCCCTAATGATGGGGTGTGTACCCAGGGTCATTTCCTTGTCCAGGTGTCTCTCCCAGCTTTTGTCATTCTCTAGTGTCTGGAGAGAGTCATTTTTTATAAATTTTCCCTGAAGCAGGGCTTGCCCAGGAGTTGCTGCTCAGGACACCAAAAGTGAAATAAATGTTCATTCCTTCACTTTCAGTACTTTCCTTGCCTTCTAATTCCAAGTCTACATCTTGCTGTGGTTGTATTACCATGCTAGCATTTGTGATGCTTTTCTTGTACTATTTTGGCAAAAACAAACACAAATGGAGATGGAGAAGTGGTGTTTTGTTTTTTCCTGGAGATTGTTCTGCTAACAATGTTAGTTACTAGTTTTGGTAGGCATCCTGAACCTAGATTACCTCTGTTAGAGATCGCCAAGAGAAATATCCAGTTTTTATGATGAGTATGGACGTTTTGGACCCCAAATTACCACGTAGGCATTCACCCTGGTGAGCTGGGCTAGAAGTTTTTGGGCTGCAAGAATTCCTTTTGCTTAGATGGATTTTGGCCTAAATTGCCTACTGCATGCTCCTTTTCTACAATATTCCCACTGGACCTTCTAAGATACTGGGAGTAGGGGCAGAGTTGGTTTTTAGTGAGAAGAGGGACCTTGGCCACCTCTGAAACTGGAGTGGCACTGGGCCCTATGACCACATTAGCCATTGACATTCCTCCAGGGGGCATGACCCAGAAAGCCTGGAAGGAGAGAGCCAGGCCCCAGCTATTTATAACCCCCTCTCTCCTTGCCACTGTGTATTTTTAACCAGACCCTGAAGTCTGACAGAATGAGGCATTGAGCTCCCCCTAGAGGTTTTAGCATGTCACAAGCAGCAATTTTTATAAAGCGGTGTTGCTGTCTGTTTTCTTTGCTCGTGTCTACTTTAATCTACATAAAAATTAAGATTTGGTAAATAATCCGGACTGATTTCATATCCTGTCTCCTTTTGGTACCAAATCGTTATTGCTAGAAATGACTGAGAGCCTTTTGGGGACATGAGCCTCTGGGTCTGTGTGCAAATCATTATTCAACATTAAAATAGAAGATAGTTTTGTGATCACAGACGTGGAATTTAAATGTCATCCTATGATCATGTTTCTTAAGTTGATTTAATGGATGTGGATAAAGCTGCTGTGTTGGCATCAGATAGAATGGTTAAGGAATTAACTGTCACTCTAGCAACCCAGTAATTTTATTTTCTCCTTCTGTGTTTCAGGGTTTCGAAAAAACGATGAAATGAAAGCTATGGATGTTTTGCCAATTTTGAAGGAAAAAGTTGCGTACCTTTCAGGTAAAGTTTAACTTTCAACTCTGCTTTATCCAGCTGCTCTGACACGATGAATGAACTCACCTGCCTCAACATATAAAAACATTGGCATTCTATGAATTTTGAACTGCTTTATTCTTGTAGCAGTGTTCCTGAGAAATTAGTGCCTAAAGCATTTTCTTCCAGCTATGAGGTACATGATAAGTCAGTTAGTGTTGGTGATGAAGATACATTTGTTTCTGCCATTCAACAAAAATTTGGCTGTTCTGCCCCAATCAGTTAAGTTAAAAAACTGATTTTAAAAAATCCGATTATTTCAGCAAAAGTGGTGGGAATGTGATGGTATGTAGATGGGTCCTGAATTTCTCACTTTGGTTTCTTGTACTCTGTACCTGCCTCTGTTGCTTTGTCTTTTGGGAGGCAAGGACGCCTGTTTCTCCTTGAGATCTACTCCTTTGTGGCTCTCTGGTCATGGAGTAACTAGGACCCAGGTCGTGGACGATGAAGCCTTGGTGATTTTACCAGCTGAGTCCATTTCCCTGTAGACCCAGTCTTTGAGGCCCTGGCCCGCCCGCAGACAGACTCTGGGCCAGTCCCTTGGGCTTTGGGCACCTGACTGCCCTCTCTTCTGCACATAGATAGTCAGCGTTAGGCCTCTTCGGACTGTCTTTTGGGGCCTTCCTCCCACATAAACAGAATAGCCATTGGGTATTACACCTTTTGGGCACCAGCTCACTTGTTACCAAACAAAGATTTGCAAGATTTTTCTGCTCTATCAGGAAGTTCATCTGTAGATTGTGGTCACGTGCTTTTAGATGCATTTCCTTTGAGAATTTTTATCTTTCTCAAATAGACATTCTGTGCTGATCTGTGTATCCTCTTGAACACCTATCAGTTTTAATTTATAACACTGATAGCTGCTTTTATAAGTTTTTTGTGTCCTCTGGACGTGTGATACTGTTATATATTCAAGATGCAGCTTCCTGTGGTGTTTTTGCTAATCTCGCTTTGCTTCATGTCCAGTAATGTTTCTTGGCCCCTGTTAATATGGTTTGATTTTGTGGGAGTAAATCTAATTCATTCTGTATTTGGAAGGTTCACAGAAGAGTGTAAGAAGTTCATGAAAAGAAGGTGCTTTAAGTTGTTGGAAATACGTGGTGAAAAACAAATACTGGCTTCCAGTACACTGAGTTTTAAAAGTAGCGTTTATTTGCTCTTCTCTAATCATCTACTGACAAACTGCATTGTAAGGACTCATGCCAGCTTTGTGAACCCCTGATTTTGTAGTTTACAAACAGAATAATTAAAAGACTCTACTTAAAAATTAGAGGTATCTGTAAGGAAGACTTAAAGCCGAGTCCATGTGTTTATCAGTTTTTTATTTTTAAAGTCTGGGTCTGTGGTAATAGCACCTGCTCCCTCTGACCTCTCTTTGTGTTTCTGAACGTTTTGTTCCATTTTCTTTCATTAGCATGCGGAGATAGACATGTGAAGCAAGGTGGAAGGTTAACATTGGTGGGTTTTATTTGTATTCATGCTTTTATTAGGCAATTAATACAGAATATATTATCAGCTGACATTTTTATATAGTTTACAGTTAACACTAAAATTTTACCTTTTAACTAATCAAAGAAAATCAGCAGTCTTTTTGAGTTTGTCTTCAATGTTTAATAAAACCTTAAGTTCTGCAGGGTTACGTAAAGTTGGATATCTTTGGTGGGGTGGGAAGTTTTGCTTTTACAACAAATTAGTAGGAACTGTTTAAAATATTAGCGATGGTAGAGCTTCCGCAGTGTTAGCAAAATGACGTTAGTAGATGTCACCGCACTTTTACAGTATTCCTAATTTATGATCAGAACTGGCAAAGCTGATTAGCATGAGCTCGCTGCTCTTTGTTTTAGGCTTATCATTATCTCCTTTAGGAAGGGGAAAAAAACCCATAAAATTAAGTAGAAATTGACTACTTGTGTTGTATTACATTTTTTGAAAATTAGGAAGAATGAATAAACTTTCCAAAATAAAATTTATCTCTAACTCAATTTTTTTCTGGTTTTTTTTTTGTGTGTGTGTTTTTTTTAATTGAAATCTAATTCACATACCCTAAAATCTACCTTTTTAAAACGCGGGATTCAGTGGATTTGAGTGTATCACCAGGTTGTGCAGCCATTACCACTAATTCCAGAACCTTTCATCACCTCTGAAGAACCCCATGGCCACCCCCAGTCCCCCAGCACTGGCAGTCCTAAGCTACTTTCTGCTCTGACCCCATTTAAAAAAAAATTAGGGAATATTATGATACCTTTGTAAAAGTTCTCCATGTGAATGGCTTTTAGTGGTTAAATCTAAGTAAAATGGCAGGGGCTTTGTAAAAGTAGGCCAAAAGATGAGTGATTTTAAAAGGTACTTATGAGGTCAAGATCTCTAAAAGCCCAGTGATGAACCTGAATATTTCCGAACCTTAGTGTCTAGGTCTTCTAAAAAGTAATGCTGATTGCACTTAAGTAAGATAGAACATACTACTTCCTTCATTTAGGGTGAACTCAGTGATTAAATGTCTTACCTGACTTCGTGTTTGAAGTCAGAGGACAGTGCTGTGGTTTGACTGGATCACCTCCAAAGTTCAGATGTTGCCAATGGGATGCTGTTAAGAGGTGAGGCCTTTAAGGGGCAGTTAGGCCATGAGGGCTTCTCCCTTGTGTGGGATTAAGGCCCCTATAAAGAGACTTTATGCTTGCCCTTCAGCCATATGAGGACACAGCATTCCTCTTCTGCCCATGGAGGATGCAGCCCTCACAAGACTACCGAACCTCGTCAAAATGCCCTATAGTTTATATTTAATGGAGTTTACGTCTGATGGCATCTTACATATAATGTCAACTATTAGTGTGGTTCCTATGCCACTAGGGTTTGAGCCTTAGAAAATCTCACAGACAACCACCAGAATTAAGAACTCATTCTTTTTTAACTGTTTATTATGGAACATTTTAACATCAAAAGAAAAGAAAATAGTATAATGAATTTTCACGAATTCATAGCCCACTTCAGCAACTTGTTTTTCTGTGTTTCTGCTTAGTCTTCTCTTCACTCTGGATAATTTTGAAGTAAAATCCAGATATTATTTTATTTATAAATATTTAGCATTTATCTCTTAAATGTAAGTGTTATAAAAAAAAAAAAAAAAAAAAACCCTGCAATACCAGTAACAGACCTAAAAATTGAATGGTAATTATTTAATATCCCCCCAAAAACCCAATGGGTATTCAAATGTTTATCTTGTCTCATATACATTGCAGCTGGTTGAGATGTCTGGTAAGGCTCTTTTAACCTGAAAGTTCTTTGTGTCTTACCTCCTGACGTTTTAGGAAGCGAGGAATCCAGGTGTCTTCCTGTGGATTCTCCTGTAGTCTAGATTTTGCTGGTTCTATCACTGGGTGGTCATTTAACATGTTTCACTTCCCCCATATTTCTTGCAGACTAGGAGTTAGGTCTTGAGACTTGATTAGACTGAGCTTTGATCTGACAGGGAAGGGGGCAAAAATCCTTAATGGGTGTGATTGTTTAGTTTCATAGGGAATTTTATTAGGAGAGTCTTGTCTTGTTTCTATGGTGTTCATTGATGATTATTGCTTAGATCTAGTATTTAAGAATTGCAAGATAGTGATATTTTCCTTATATCCTTTCTTTAACTTGGATATCCCGTAAAGAGAGATGTCCCATCACCACTTACTTGATTGTCCTGAGAAAGACTTCATACAGGAGAAGTAGGATAAGTGATTGGTTCTTGTCCGTAAGCAGTTTTCGGGCTAATGAAAAAGGACCATTGTTTGTTTGTGTTTTCCCCGATAAAGACTTATTTCAAATGCATGATTTTAAATACATATGATGTTTTGATTTATTGCACATTTTGTCTCTTATGAAATTAAAATTGTCCCATCTTTGGCCAATGGGAGCCTCTTCAGACTGGCTCCTAAGTTTTGTTTGCTGATGTGAGAAGATGTTTCAGAACTATCTTGTATAATTCCTGCCTCAAATCTGGAATCAGCCATTTCTCTAAAGAGCCCTGGTTCCTTTTAGTGGGAAACAGTACACGTTGCTAGGGATATTCACTGGGTAGGTTGTTGTTTCTGTGTCTCTTTAGTGGACAAATCTGGGGGAAAACACACACATGCATTTTAATAAGAAATGATATCATGACTTTATATTAAAATTCATAGTTCAAATACAGGATTATAGATATTTCATTTTACTTCTTCAGTTGTGTATTTGTGGATATCTGTTTCATTAGTCTAAAAATGTTAGTTCCTACCTATGTGGACATAATTACTTACTTTGTAATGCTAATGGTATTAGCACAGTATATGACTACCAAATGTAATTTAGTATTTTTCTTGTTGTCTTGGTCCTGAGGATGTATGCCGTTAGAAATCTACAGACCTATTACTGTATTTTAAAGTCACACGAAACAGTTCCTCTCCATGTGGATATGCCATCAGCTTGAAACCTGGAATCATTTGTTTTATTTTGTAAGACTTAAAAACCCCAGCTTGCTTCAATTTTAAGTAAAACTTAGCATAATTCCACAGTAATAACTAAAAAATAGTTTAAAGTTAAGGTCTGGTTAAAAAAAAAATCTAGTTTTTGTTTTTGCCTTCTCCACCCTGTGTTTCCCCTGTAGGAAAGCTTTTTAAAAAAGTTTTTGGTTTAATCTTTATGCTTTTAAAATATGAGCAATTCTATTGATCTTCCCATCTGTTTTCATCTTCTCCTTCTTCCCGAGATAAACAGAAACGTAATGTGCCTCATTTTCTATTCTTTGCTTGTTTTATTTCAAAAAATATTCTGGAGATCAGTATATAGCAGCACATAATAGAGTTCTCATTTCTTTTTACAGTTGTGTATTACTCTGTTTTGTGTGTGTAACAGAGTAATACAGAAATATGTATGTACCAGAGTAAGACACAACTCTCTCTATATATCTATATCTATATATATGTTTTTATATATGTGTGTCTATGTCTGTGTGTATGTGTGTGTGTGTATACACCATAGTTAATTCAGTCAGATGCCCATTGACGGACATTTGTTTTTTTTTGTTGTTGTCGTTTTGTTCTTAGAATAGCTTTTTGGGGTGCAGTGAACATTCACTCTTATGTTGGGGGTATTGACAGGAATGTGGGATTTGATGACTTAAGATTTGCTGGTACCTTAGTTCTTCATGGTCCAGTTTTGCAGAGTACTGCCTTTCCCCAGAAGAGAAGGAGAAACTTCCATTCATCTTGGGTATTCTTGTTAGCATCCTAGCATAGTGGGAGCCGGCAGGGACTGACTGAGAGGACAGGAACTGGCGGGGCTTTTCATGCAGGCTGCTGAATCTTCTTAGCCTTCAGTAGAAATACTCCATGAGCCAGTTCCTGGTTCTCAGGACCAGGCAGCAAGAGGTGAGCCTAGAAGGTGCAGGGCTGGCAAGCTGCTCGCCTTGGCTGCTGTTAGAGCAGGAGCCCAGTGGGCATCCTTTTAACAGAGTTGTATTACTTTATGGCACACTTAATAGACATTAGCCATCATTTCTCTCTTTCACAAACTATGTCTTTCAGAGATTTCCTTGGCAAAGGCTGCTTTTTATTGTCAGTGTGAGTTAGACTGTTCCTTGGGAGTTGGGAATAGGAGGTTGGACAGTGGCTAAAGAATAGTTTTCAATGGTGTTCTAATCCAGAAATTGAAACAAGGGCTATGGAGAGAAAGATAGAGTTGGTTTGTTGAAGTTTACATTTTACTCCTCAAAGCAAGCATGGCTTTCTTGCAAGTTCTTTGTAAATAAGTGAAAGGTGAGCTTCTAATTCATTTAAAGAGAAAGAGGTGATTGTGAATCTAGCTGTTTCTGTGGTCATCCTGGGCCGCATTGCTCAAGAGACCAAGTCTCCTAGAGTTGTTTTTTTTTTTTTTTTTTTTTGAGACGGAGTCTCGCTCTGTCGCCCAGGTTGGAGTGCAGTGGCGCGGTCTCCGCTCACTGCAAGCTCCGCTGCCTCCCGGGTTCACGCCATTCTCCTGCCTCAGCCTCCCTAGAAGCTGGGACTACAGGCGCCCGCCACCACGCCCGGCTAATTTTTTTGTATTTTTAGTAGAGACGGGGTTTCACCGTGTTCACCAGGATGGCCTCGATCTCCTGACCTCGTGATCCGCCTGCCTCAGCCTCCCAAAGTGCTGGGATTACAGGCGTGAGCCACTGCGCCCGGCCTCCTGGAGTTTTAAGAAGAGGGAAATGAGGTCTCAGGGTTTAAGGAATAATTGTCACACCTACATGTATAGCTATAGTGTAGGACCCTTTCAGCCTTCTTTCTATGATTAAAATAAACCTCAGTTTCCTTAGCATATCCATCAGGCATTTCTGCTAACTGATACCTGATAGGAGGTATTTTTAGTTAATGTTGTGTGGAATATGGAAAAATAATCCATTCAGCAAATGTTTGTTGGGTGCCAGTCTCATTGGGCATGGAGAGCATTGTGTATTCTTAAATGAGCAAGTGAAACAAAGATGCCTGCCCTCATGGAGCTTATGTTCTAGTGGAGGAAACAGATAGACAAAAAGAATATGTAAATTGTATCATTTCCTAGAAGGTAAGAAGTGCCTTAGAGAAATAAGATTGGATATAGGAAAGGATGCAGGTTTATGTGAACTGAAAATAAACACCATCATTATAAACAAAAACTTTTTTTGTTTTTTGGTGTTTTTTTGTTTGTTTTTTTTTGTCGTTGTTGTTTTGCTTTTTGACTAAGGCAGCATTTGAATAAGCAGATAATCAATGAGCTGTTGTTTGGTTTCAGACATGAAACGCTTCCATACATAGACATCCTGTGATGCTGGCAGCATTTCCTGTCTTTTTCATTTCATTATAGAAACTAAGGCACTGATTTCTCATCTATAAAATGAGGCTGACATCTGTCCCGCCTGCCTCAGCATGTGGCTTAGGGTTGATACCACACACACATGAGTGTATCTAATAGGTGAAGTTTTTATGAACTACAGTGCTGTTATTTTTACTAGTTTAGGAACAGGAACAGAACTTTGCATTTGTGACTTTTCTGCTTTATACGCAGATGCTATTTTCATTTGGGTACTTCCTGTGGTGTTGGAAACCAACCTAAATCTTGGGGAATAGAATTAAACAGACACCTGTGTAGTTGATTTTAAGCTCCTTGAGGTTTAGCGAGCGTGTTCCTCTGAACTATACTTCATCCTTTCTAAGATTTTTTCTTCATACCTCCCTGAGGAGGAGTCAGCAGAAAGTGATCATTAACCATGTTACACCATCTATTGGAAGGTGCACCCTTAGCAGGGAGATTAGCATGTGAAAAGATTCTTACTTCATAAATGATTTTTGATAAAATTGTAAAAATATCCCAGTGAATTTTCTGAAGTTCTTTTCTAGGAAAAGGAAAAGTGACAATTTTTCCTCTATCTTAAAATTCAGATTCAGGTGTCTATAAGCTTTTCCTAGGACATGACTCAGCGCCTAAGTGGATGAACTTGCTAGCAAGTCTTAGGATACTGCTAGCTAGTGCTACCAGCCTGGGAGAAATCTTTGTAGTTGAAAGTTGGAAAAGTGTAGTAGAGGCTGTCAAAACTTTTTCACAGAGCTGCCTTTAGTTCTCAGGTCTGGGGCGATCAGAATGGCCATGCGCATTGTGCACACCTGCTGACTTCCCATGCCACTTTCTTAGATTGGAAGATTTTGGATTCTACTTCTCACACCCATGGTGGAGCATGCCTTGCTTGACTTGTGAGCTACGGTGACCCAGGAGGGAGGAGAGTGTAATGTGGGTCCCTATGGAATCAAACATTAGGCCGCATTTCAAACACTTTTTAAAAATTGAGAGTTGTGGTCCAGAAAAAATGTTAGATGCTAGCTTTCTCTTTACCAAAAGTGAGGGGAATGTTTTAATTTAAATAATATGTACTGTATTTTTAATAATTCAAGTTTCTATAATATGTGTTAATCTATGATAATTTCAATCAAGGAGATTGACTCTTTTGAAAAGAATGAAAGGTATTGGGAAATGAAAAATATTGAAATTGTTAATCTGTTTTGTCTTGGGGATAAGAGGTATTCCAAAAAATTAGAGCTATTGATATTACCCTAAAAATCATATCAGATGTTTTAGAAGATCACTTGATAATGAGCAGTACTGCTTCTCACTTTTAATAGTACTTTTCATTCGTAAATGTTAGCCCCCTCAAAGGCCCAGGAACCCGTTATTTAGTTATCCCTATAACATTTTTACTACTAAAAAAGAACTACAGCGAATAGTTAGAAAGATCATACAATTTTTTTTTTGTCTGGGCGAAGACCTAGTGATGACAATGTTGCATAGTTCCTTCATCTTTATTTAAGCTTTTGGAGCCTCAGTATCTTTGTTAAGACTGGAGTGACAAAACCACTTAACAGAGTCATTGTAAAATCACATCAGAAAGTGTATATAGAGCACGGGATACCCTACCTGGATCTGTTGGTACCTATGATTGTCGTTCCCATATAATACCTAAATTAATGGATTTAGAAATAATTTAAGGCGTTTCTAGATTACATGACTAAACAATATATGTGGATTGCTTTAAGTATTCCCAATCAAAATGAAGTTTCATTATTATTTAGAATGAGTACATAATTCCTATGAAGTTATGAAAACCATATTGGTAAAATATATTTTTTAAAATACCATCATCTTCTGCTGTATGTTTTTTGGCCTTTTCTAAAAGGAAAGAATCTTCTGTTGTTTTTTTATTTGCTTGCTTGCTTTCTCATTTTACCTCTGCTGATGATTTTTGGTGCACAGAAAATAGTTAAGAGTTTTGTATTGTGACTTGAATTTTGCAGTCTCCTGAAGAGAGATCATCAGAGTTCTAAAACTAAATGAAGGATCCACTTGAGAAGGCTAAATTTTCTTTCTCTGTTTTCCTGACAACCCCGAAGGAAGTAATAAAATAAATGTGACAATTTCACCCCAAGTGTTTAGTGATACCAAACTGACTTCATTAGGATTGTGTATGTTAACAAGAAATCGTTCTGCCTGCCTGTCTGTCAAAGCCACATATTCGGAGATTTGTACTCTTAGTGTGTGATAGAATGTTTCTCAAGTCCTTAAGCTAAATGGCTTTAAAATTCTCACGTGGTTCTCTCACATGCATGTGTGTGGTTCCGTGTGAGAACCCGTTATTTAGATAACTAAATAATGGGTCCACGCAAAGCTGGACCAGTGAGGGTCAGGTGCCATCCGTCCCAGATTATAAAGTCGTCATCAGCATAGTTTGGAGAATGTTCCTTTCGCTTTCCTTTCAAGACTTAGACCCATTTTGTTGATAGGAAAGAAAGAGCTTTGAATGCAGGGCAGTGGGGAAAAATGTGGGGGAGACTGACATAGAGGGCAGGTGTGAGAGAGGTGGTTGTCTCAGGTGAGTGAAACACATGGACGTGACAACTTTTTATTTTGTCCAAAACATAAAAACTGAAGAAAGGAGTTTTTCCCAAAACATTGGAAGAAAAAGACAAGGCCATATGTGGTACAACCTTCCATGTGGCCTGCAGAGCCTCAGACTTTTTCTCCCAGATCCCCTGAAGGGATGACGTGTCCTCACCGTGCCTCAGGTGAAACAAGGACTTCTGCCCTGTGCAAATTTGTATAGTTGCTTTAGGAATAATTTTGACAGAGTGAATGAATGATAACATAGGATTTCTGTCTTATCTTGTTTCATTCTAAGGGTGTTCCTAATGTTTGTTTTTTAGGTGGTAGAGATAAACGTGGAGGTCCCATTTTAACGTTTCCGGCCCGCAGCAATCATGACAGAATACGACAGGAGGATCTCAGGAGACTCATTTCCTATCTAGCCTGTATTCCCAGGTAAGTTCTGTGTGGCCTGTGCTTGTCACTGATGTCACATTTACAAGAGATGTGGTGTTGTACTCGTTAGAAATCAGCTAAATGGTAGCCTGAATTCCAGGCAAAGTAGTATAAAAATGAAAATCATTATCGTTCTCCTTATAACCATTTTGTGACCATTATTGTCTCGTGTAAAACCTTTTGGGGAGCGGGGACATGAAGGTAGGTGTTTTGTTGTGAAGAGCTTTGTGTGTGTTGACAGTGGATCTGGGCTACTCAGCTGGAATTTCAGGATGTGGTGCCTGAGTTAGAAAGCCATCATTGATGATTCTAATACCGTGACACAGAGGCCTGGGTGATCAGAATTGGGTGCTGCTTTTGATAATGCATTTCTGCCTTCTTGGCAAACGTTAGTTCTTTAAAAATAGTCTGTTGATACGTGGCATGAAGTTTGTGGGGCATTAAAAATCCTTATTAGCTATATATTGGGCATAGATTTGGGAATCTCTGTCAAAATTGAGACTCCATTGGTAGTGGGAATTTTTAGCATAGATGCCAGAGAGCACCAAGAACAAGCAGTGTTGTTTTTTCTGGAGAGTCCGAAAGTGGGGAGTCGTGAGTTACTAGTAGTTGGCCTGTGTGTATACTTGAGGAATTTAGAATCTGTTTCTGGAATTCTCTGGGAATGTATTCTACATATTACTCGAGTTTTATTTGTAGATCTAGCTGACAACTGGTGGAGGAAATTTCCTCCCTATATTAATGTATTTGTTCTTTCTCACAGTGCTATTAAGAAATGTTTGGGACTGGGTAATTTATAAAGAAAAGGGGTTTAATTTGTTTAATGGCTAGGGAGACCTCAGGAAACTTATGATCATGGCAGAAGGCAAAGGGGAAGCAGGCACATCCTCACATGATTGGAGCGGGAGGCAGGGGGTGGGGGTAGGCGGGGAGGTGTCACACACTTTTAAACAACCAGGTCTCATGAGAACTCCATCAGGGGACAGCACTAGGGGGACGGTGCTAAACCATTAGAAACCACCCTCGTGATCCAATTACCTCCCACCAGGCCCGCCTCCAACACTGGGGATTACAGTTCAACATGAGATTTGGGTGGGGACACAGAGCCAGATCATAACAATGAATATCTCCATTTAATTATTCCAGTTATATTCTGGAAAACATAATACCACTCTGGTATAATCTAAGGATACGGTCATGCCTGGAATAGGAGATCTGGAGTGTGTTGCAGGTTGGAGGGGTGCCTATCTATGAGGAAAGGGTGAGTCCTCCGGTGTCTCTTTTATTCCAGAAAGGAACATACTGAAGGGCATCAGTGGCGGCCATGGTAGAGTGAGAGGAGGTATTTCCTAAGAGACTAAATGAGGACGTGTGAGAGAAAACTCAGCCATAATATGGGCTAGGCTAGATAGTGACCTTAAGGAACATGTTACAAGAGAATGATGTCATTCTCAGTAACAGCATAATGGGTTTCAACGGTTGTGGTAAAGGTAGTAGATCTGCCACAGCACGTGGTTCACGGCACTCTTAACCTGTATAGGTTGACACCAGCGGGACAAGGCAGCCATGCCCCTTCGTAACAGGGCTGGCTGTGGCTGACGGCAGTCAGCTTTTGGTCTTGATAGTTTGACTTGCCGGGGAAGTTCTTGGGTTTTCTGTCAGAGTACCCTTTATGAGAAAACCATCACCGTGTGGCATCAGCGACTAAGTGAGCCCTACTTATCTGGAGTGAGTTTTCCCTTTCTTCTTCTGGTATTTCTTAGGCAGCTGACCTGTTGAAATCTTAGAGTTGGGAAGTAATTTAGAAGTTATTTATACTCACTATCATTTATAAATAAAAATAGAGTGTAAACTACTGCTTACTAAGCTTTTACTATGTGCTGGGTCTGTGATAATGATGGAAAAAGAAATACAAAGGGCAGCGGTAAAAAAAAAATCACTGCCAATCAAAATGATACTTGTCATATAGTTTAATAAAAACTAAAGTCAAATTTGATATTCACTCATGTGATTTTAAAAACTGACATGATTTGAATACTGTATAGTGGTAACTTTGACAACTTGCTTTTTGGTCTTGAAACCTATGTTAATAGTAAATATTAAAAATTATTCATTTTATTGATATAAAAATTGGTTCAAGCACATTTTGGATAATCTGAATGACCCACTTAAAAAAAAAATCTTTTTTGTGGGAAATTGTGAGAATACACAAAAGTGGAGAGACTAAGAATAATATCATGAACACACGTATACCCATCACCCAGCTTCAGCGTTTATCAGATTTTGCCAGTCTTGGTTTTCTCTAATTATTCCCCTGATGTATTTTATAACAAATCCCAAAGATCACATCATGTCACTCAAAAATACTCGTGTGTATAGGATGACCCTCCGGCCACTGAGCAGTCACTTCATGTCAGTCCCTATGTTTGCATTTGCATTCACTGCAGTCCCAAGTGACAAGAAATGCCCTTTTGCTTGTCCTTGATTAATGAGCAAATAAGAGAGGTGGAATTAGCATGTAAATGATGCATTTGCTGAGTGATAATGGAGAAGGATTTCAGTGTAGTCCAGACTGAAAGAAGTGGCCACAAAGTGAGTCCTCTCTGGACCCTCCCTCCCAGGGTCCCGCAGGCGCTACCCCTAGTGAGTGCGTAGCAGCAGGAGCGCTGTTTGGTTTTAATCAAATAAATTATGTGATACAGATTTTACCAATCTGTAAAAGTCATCAGCAAATTACTGGTGTGTGGATTTCTTTGGACTCGTGAGTTTGCTTTTGTGTAGTTTGTAAGTCTGATTGTTTATTGTAGTAGAGTGGTATGAACACAAGGCGTTTCTACCCAGCTGTACATCTGTGTGTATGTCTTGGGGCCTGTGAGACCTTCGGCTGTGTCCAGTGCTCCCTCGTGCTTCCCAGATTTGAAGGCAGCCCTCTGGCCATTCCTCAGCTAGACAGTCACAGGGCTGGTGTCATATGTGAAGGGAGAACATGGGCCTCAGAATCAGACTGACTGTGACCTGGGACACTTGACTTCATTTTCATTGCTTTCCTGATCTGAAAGTGTGATAATGACCTGTACATTTTGGGATCATTGTGAGTATTGAGTAAAATTATTCCTGTAATCGTGCGTGGTGCTTGACATGCAGTAGCTTGCTCAGATATAGTGCAATGATTTTCTGATTTCATATTCACCCTTCTATTTTCCTTTAATTACTTTCCTTTTGACATGATTTCTAGAGGCAGATCACATTGTTTTCTTCTGCATGCCTTCTAGATTGTCTGTGTCCCGCACAGTTCAGCAGAAACATGACCTGAGCAGCTGTGAATAGTTTGAGTATTATTGCTGGGGTCGCCCCTCCCTGCCCTTTTTTTAAAACAAACAAACAAACAAACAATTGTAGTAGCAAGGTGAATTCATAAGATTCATTTGCAATGAAACTTTCCACTAAATGTGTGCAGGAGAAATAAGAAGCAGCAGCAGTTCTTGCTGCCGTCATTGCAAGTCCTGCAGAGTGACATTAATCTCGGAGTGTCTCTAGGTGGCTGTTCTCTTATTACTTGAATTGTATTGAATACTAATTATGTTCTAGAACCTTCTGCCTTCTTTAGAATGATTTATAGTTGTGAAATATTAATAGTAAACCACTCTTACTCCTTGTTGTCCACTAACGAAATGATATGAAGATTTTTAATTGATTCATTCATAAATACTCATGTAAGAAGATACTTTCTTCATCTAGAAACTAAACAAGTAGAGTTTCTCTTTTTTAGGGACCTGTGTTGAGAGGGGACCTTAATTTTATGTAAATTTTCTTTATCTCACAGATAAACATGAGGCTCTTTGGTAAAATGCTAAAATAGCTGGTTAATAAGTCACATTTCCCAAAGAACAGGGCCTCTTAGGTGGTGGAAGGGCTTGGGGCCTTTCTCCTGTAGGCAGCTGTTTATTAGGCGCTTATAAATAGGACTCCATAGGACTTGGGTCTGGGGATGTTTACAAGTCACTGCTGTCTTAATGGTGACTGGCTTTTAACTTGATAAAAACAGATGGATTGAAATGCTGTGCACTCCCAGCCCAGTTCATGTGCCGTTTTCACTACTTAGGAAGCCGCTTGGTGGGAGCAGTTTGATCACGGAGGAAGGTGAATGGTTAATCCTTCTGTCAACTGTGCAAGCTCAGCATAGCTTTTGGTTTTGTTGTTCTGTTGTTAAGCCTGGAGTCATTCAGGATTCCTTTTAAGCTGCTTTCAAGTAGAGGGGCTTTGTAGTTCATGTGCATACTGTGTAAGGCCATGTTAGGAGAAGGAAAGGCTTCAAGGGAATTTATCTTGATACGGTGAAGACTGATGGTTACAGTTCAGTCTACCAAACAGCAACTAGTAAAACAAGCAAAACGTATTGCCACTGTTTGACAATCTCCTGTCTTTGGTGTACCTCTGGAGTAGAATGCCTTACAGGGCAGCAGGCTTCCTTTGCAGAGCTCTTGGCCTCCAGGCACCTGCCTCTTCCTGCTTAGGCTGCCCTCACCCGATTGCCTCCGGCGCCCTGGAGTTTCTGTGTAATGGAATCTCCCCGTATTGCAAACCCCATTAGAGCCCAAGAAAGTCTAGAATGGTTAATCTCTATGACAGGAGACTTTAGGAGACATTTCTGGGAGTCCCATTTGCCTCTAGGTTTCATGAAGGAGGTCAGAAAACAAGTGATGTTTCTGTCTGTGATGTTACCTGGATTGTAACCCAGGACCTAATTGGGATGTGGAGGAGAAGTGATGGCATGAAAGGTATTTGAACTCATTTTAATTTACATCCCTATGGGATAATTATTAGAAGTTCATCACATCATTCCTAATCAGTTTTCAACATTTGGGTGATAAACTAGGCTGCTGGATCTGTCTGTTTTCTCCTCCTGGCTTTAAACACTGTGTTCCTCTGACTGTCAGCCACCCTCTGATTGGGTCCTACTGCTGGGTTCTAACCATACAGCCATTTTTGGGGGGTGTTTATGCGATACAGCCTCTTATTGATGTAGATGTTGTATGTACTTTGCATTTGTAAAACGTGGAAAACTAGTTACTCTGATGTTCTGAATCAAGATATAGAAGGGAATGGGGTGTGTAAGTGTGAGTTAATTGGGAGGGGGGAAGGGGAGCAAGATTAGGGGAGTGAGCCTATGTAACAGCATGAAATTGGTTTTAATTTTGAATTAATTTTGTTTGCATTGCTTAATGATAGCAATTAGTTTTCCAGGTTTTTAATTTAGACTAGTTTTTTTCTTGGTGGGGGGAGTAATTATCCAAAGCAGAAAAATATCAAATGTCTTTTCTACCGGAAGGTACATTTATGTTTGGGGAAAACCACATATGCGTATGGAGTACCATAAGGTCCTAGGTATATTTCCAAAAAAGACCTTGCAGGCACTCGTTACCTGGTTACTGTCTGTTGCAGGCATCAGCAGCCTGCGTGGACTGGTTACTGTCTGTTGCAGGCATCAGCAGCCTGCGTGGACTGTCAGAGACCCCTCTGTAAGTAACAGTGAGGGTTGCAGTTGTTCCTTAGCTGTAGGGCCATTTTACAACTGAAGTTGTAACCAAGTGAGACTAAGTATTTTTTTTTCACCTGTTTTTAAGGACACCTTGACTCTTGTTGCTCATTCTTTATTGCAGATTTGCATTTTATGTGTTTTCCATGTAGCCAGTAGTTGAGATTTAATAAAATTAGAAGCTGGCACTTTTTTTTTTTTTTTTAAGTGCAATAATGTGGAGAGGAAGAGTATAGTGACTCCTAGCACTGCCTTGATGTGTGTTAGAGGCCAGCAGTGTTAGCCAGCATTGCTAGCGGATAAAGGCTTAGTGCAGTTGTGGAACTAGATTAAAACCACAGAGCCTGCCAGAAGGGTGCCAAGAACTCCCAGGGACGGGTGGAGGGTATGGAAAACCACTGAGACAGCTTCAGGGCCAGGGATAGGGTAAAGGGAATAAAATGGAACATAGGAAAGCTCTCACCATTGCCAGCCATGCTGGTGGGGGATCATTTTCAGCACCTGGGGTGCTGGGAGTCCTGGGGTAACTGCCGTCCATAGGTCTCAGACTGTCCCGAGTCTGGGTTTCGCAGGCTGTCAGGGTTTTGTACCCGCCCAATGCTCCTGGAGACCTTTGCCCACCGGAGTGACTGGAGGAGTTCATGTAATCAGTTAATGCACCAAGGTCAAGAGAAGTGGGCACGGTGACCGTTGTTTTCCTGAAAAGAAGACAAGATGCAAAACCATTAATAAAAAATTGACATCTTAACAGGTTTTGCAGGTTGAACATGAAGCGTGTGTAGCCTGAGCCTCTTCCTTTATGGTACAAGGGAGGGACAGGAAGGAGCTGAGCATAGTGTGCATGTCTGGCAGGAGAGGGAAGCTGGGTCTGTGGCACCCAGTGGGACTCTGAGCAGACAGAGTGGCAAGAGATGCAACCCGTCTTCAGCCATGTTTTCTTTCTCCGCAGCGAGGAGGTCTGCAAGCGCGGCTTCACGGTGATCGTGGACATGCGCGGGTCCAAGTGGGACTCCATCAAGCCCCTTCTGAAGATCCTGCAGGAGTCCTTCCCCTGCTGCATCCACGTGGCCCTGATCATCAAGCCAGACAACTTCTGGCAGAAACAGAGGACTAATTTTGGCAGTTCTAAATTTGAGTTTGAGGTAACTTCCCCTGTGTGGCTAGACCCACTAAACAAGTTGGTGTGGTTTACTAAAAGCTGTTGAGGCTAATGATTTTTTTTTAAACCGCATATTAAACAGGAGCTGCATATCTTACGAACACATGATACGTAAAATTAGTTATTGCATGAAACGACAGAGCTACGTTCATTATCCAAGTGAACTGTTTTACCCACATGGACTTAGGTTTCAGTTCCCTTGGATTGGGTGATGGGCTGTTGAGTTGTGAGGCCTTGGCAGAGAAGCTTGCTTGCTGCCTTGGATTTCACTTGACAAACAGCTTTACCAGGCAGCACAGTGGCTTTGCATGGTTACAGATTCATTCTCCTTGTCTCAGCCCTGGAGATGAGGGAATGTTAGCGATAAATGCGCAACTTCAGAGTCCCTAAATCTCAACCTGTCATGGATAATGGAGAGAATGCATGTGTTAGGCCTCTGATTTCTGAAAATGGAGATAGTGTGTTAAAAACTGTACAGAGTCCTGAATTCAGTTAGGCATGGAAGATTGCCATCTATCAGTGGTAAAAACAAAACAAAACCCTCAGCCCACTAATTATTTTCCTTCCCACTGTAACCTCCTCTCCTTAAGCTACCAAGGTTCTGACAAGGCCTTCGGTGCAGTTAGTTTAATGAGGTGATTACGGGAGGAAAGTCTTCCTGCCGGCTTGAAACTTGATTCTTGCTCCATTTGGAATAAGATTTTAATATTTTCTAATAAGAAGCTATGATTTTTGGTTGAACGCTTCTTCTGGCAAATCTGCTCAAATGTTAGGTTTCAGTGGATGTATTCATATATTTTAAGGTAAACAGTAGTAATAATATTAAACATCAGACAGTGTTAATACGTAATCTTTAGGTTATAATGCTATACTTTTCAAAGTGTTTGCACAGGTATATTACTTGGATTTTTTAATTCTTTCCATAGTGCTCACTTTTCTATCCGAAATCTGAACTTAGTTTTAAATTTGAAACTACTCAGGAGGTTTACTACACTCCATCAGAAAGATGAACCCAGCAAGCCTTTTTCTTCGCAGAGAATAGGAAATAATTTTGGAGGACAGTTTATTGGGCATTAATTATTTTCTTGATGCAGAATTGAAAGTGCATTGTATTTAATTGTAAGTGTTTTAAGTAAAAATAATGGTCTGGCAATACAATTCATACAGGTTTTTCCAGTCTAGTTTTGATCTCTCCCTCTGGGTTCTTAAAGGCACCCGTTTTTCTGTGGAACTTGTTACACTGTTACCAGCCTCTCTCGTCCCCGCCAGTGATTGCCTCTGTGGATATTATTAAAAGTTCAGCAGGGCCGGGTGTGGTGGCTCATGCCTATAATCCCAGCACTTTGGGAGGCTGAGGCGGGTGGATCACGAGGTCAGGAGATCAAGACCATCCTGGCTAACACAGTGAAACCCTGTCTCTACTAATAATACAAAAAATTAGCCGGGCGTGGTGGTGGGCGCTTGTAGTCCCAGCTACTTGGGAGACTGAGGAGAATGGCGTGAACCCAGGAGGCAGAGCTTAAGTGAGCCGAGATTGTGCCACTGCACTCCAGCCTGGGCAACAGAACGAGACTCTGTCTCCAAAAAAAAAAAAAATGTCCAGCAAACGAGAGAGGAATGGGCCTATGGTAGGATTGTAGGCAGAAGTGCTGGATCAGGAGTCATCCCTCTTTCTAGCTCTGCTGCCTTCTGCTGTTTCTTTTGCCAACCAGCATGCCAAACCAGCCCTTCTTTGTTTTCCCTTTTGGTTCTAGGTCACAACTCTTTCTCCTTCACCTTTGTCTTTGCATTTAATCATCCCCCCTCCCCCCATATTTTCCTTGAGGCATATTAATATTAATCTGCTTCACACTATAATAAGGTGAGGTTAAGATTTCTTGCTCAGGCCAGGCACAGTGGCTCATGCCTATGATCCCAACACTTTGAGAGGCTAAGGGAGGAGGACTGCTTGAGGCTGGGAGTTCGAGCCCAGCCTGAGAAGGTTAGCAAGAGCCTATCTCTATATTTTGTTTTAAAAATTAGCCAGGTGTGACCAGGCGCGGTGGCTCACACCTGTAATCCCAGCACTTTGGGAGGCCAAGGCGGGCGGATCACAAGGTCAGGAGTTCCAGACAACCTGGCCAACATGGTGAAACCCCGTCTCTACTAAAAATAAAAAAATACGCTGGGCGTGGTGGCAGTCACCTGTAATCCCAGCTACTCGGGAGACTGAGGCAGGAGAATCGCTTGAAATCGGAAGGCAGAGGTTGCAGTGAGATGAGGTTGCGCCACTGCACTCTAGCATGGGCAACAAGAGCAAAACTCTGTCTCAAGCTTTACAGTGTGCAGTGATCGCCATACTCTACTCCAGTCTGGAAGACAGAGCAAGACCCTGTCTTTTTTTTTTTTTTTTTTCTTTAAATAAAAGGCTGGACATGATGGCTCATGCCTGTAATCCCAGCACTTTGAGAGGCTGAGGTGGGTGGATCATTTGAGGTCAGGAGTTCCAGACCAGTGTGACCAACATGGTGAAACCCCATCTCTACTAAAAATACAAAAAAATTAGCCTGGCGTGGTGGTGGGCGCCTGTAGTCCCAGCTACTCAGGAGGCTGAGGCAGGAGATCGCTTGAACCTGGGAGGCATAGGTTGCAGTGAGTTGAGATCGCACCACTGCACGCCAGCCTGGGTGACAGAGCAAGACTCCATCTCAAATAATAATAATAATATATAAAGATTTTTGCTTAGATTGTAATTGACTAAAATTTTGTCACTGTTAAATTGCAGTGTAGTACAGATTATATACAACTCTAGGACTGTTCAGAATCACAGCAGATTATTGCAATGAATAAAGCATTGCCTCTGTCCTTAGCTCTGTCAAATGAGCCTCTGCCAGCTTTCTTGCCACCTCCTGAATATTTTCTAAATTTTTATAAACTCATTCATATCCCATCATCTGTTATTTGATGGGCAGTGGGGTTAGGCTTAGGCAAGATGAATGACAGGGTGGTCTGGTTAGAGCAGCATTCGTCATTTAATAGGCAGCCCACACGTAATTGAATTTAGAGTGACGTTGTGCTTAAAAGGGTTTTGATGCCCATGTGCAAGACGTTTGTGTAATAGCAAGTAGTAGAAAACCTCCACAGAGTTTCTGGCTTGGATGAAAAAGAATGGGTAGAAGAATGCATTGATGTAAGTGAAATTTCCGCATTGTTTGCTCTGAACTTGCGATTTAACCTGTTTCCTGGTTTAATGTGTCTGTTATAGTGGGTTAATCTCCACCTTCTTGGAAAGAAACCTCATTTCTTTAGCTCTCATGAAATACACGATTCTACAGTTTTAGGTATTCCAACTGACATACGTGTGTTGCTATAATGGATTTGTCTTTCATTGCACTGATAATGCTTCTTTCATCTACATTTATTTTTATGGGGCCAGAACCAGGTATGTTGTTTTCTATAAATAGATTAACTTTGAAAACCTGTGACTGAGCATTGCAAATTGCATTATGTTAAAACTATATAAAATTGGTTCATCTTCTCATACGTGATTTTTTTTCCCTTAAGACAAATATGGTCTCTTTAGAAGGCCTTACCAAAGTAGTTGATCCTTCTCAGCTAACTCCTGAGTTTGATGGCTGCCTGGAATACAACCATGAAGAATGGATTGAAATCAGAGTTGCTTTTGAAGACTACATTAGCAATGCAACCCACATGCTGTCTCGGCTGGAGGAACTTCAGGACATCCTAGCTAAGAAGGAGCTGCCTCAGGATTTAGAGGGGGCTCGGAATATGATCGAGGAACATTCTCAGCTGAAGAAGAAGGTGATTAAGGCCCCCATCGAGGACCTGGATTTGGAGGGACAGAAGCTGCTTCAGAGGATACAGAGCAGTGAAAGCTTTCCCAAAAAGAACTCAGGCTCAGGCAATGCGGACCTGCAGAACCTCTTGCCCAAGGTGTCCACCATGCTGGACCGGCTGCACTCGACACGGCAGCATCTGCACCAGATGTGGCATGTGAGGAAGCTGAAGCTGGACCAGTGCTTCCAGCTGAGGCTGTTTGAACAGGATGCTGAGAAGGTAAAGACGGGGAGGCTAATGCCTCAATGGACATGGGGGAAGCCAGTGCTGGTGGGTTCGGGTGGAAGGAAAGAGAAAAGGTGGAGAATGGTAAGGCTGCGCTCACCGTGTGTGCTCTAAACCAGTGAGGGTCATTTCAGAAACGGCACTGAAATCTGTTTTCCAGTTTTACTTATTGTGCAATACAGTGCCGTTTTAGAAAATTTGAGTTCAAATTACTTATGCTTTGGTCTAGGATGCCTGTAAGATAGGAATGATATTTTCACTTAAAAGAGTGAACATTTCGGCCATGCTTGGTGGCTCACGCCTGTAATCCCAGCCCTTTGGGAGGCCGAGGTGGGCTGATTAGCTGAGGTCAGGAGTTTGAGACCAGTCTGGCCAACATAGTGAAACCCCGTCTCTACTAAAAACACAAAAATTAGCTGGGTGTGGTGGCACGCCCCTGTAATCCCAGCTACTCAGGAGGCTGAGGCAGGAGAATCGCTTGAACCCGGGAGGCAGAGGTTGCAGTGAGCCAAGATCGTGCCACTGCATTTCAGCCTGGGCGACAGAGTGAGACTCTGTCTTAAAAAAAAAAAAAAGAAAAAAAAGTGAAAATTTCACAGGGTTATGTTATTGACAGAACACCGTTCCAATCTATTGAGTATGTTTTTAAAATCAAGACGAGTAATGTGTTAAAAGTAACAGTTTCTGGGTAATATAGTCAGTAATGACCTCTAGTCTTATGCTTTATTCTTATGCGCCAGGCAGACCAACTGGTCAAAGTGAATCGTTATCAATTACTGGCTAATTGAATCTTAGCAATGTGAAAACTGGGCACTTATTCATAGGTATGTGTTGCAAGCCATGAACATGGGTGAATTAATCATTGAGTTTTATTTGAGCTTACTGAATTTTATATTACATGGACAGGAGAATATTTTGTAAAGTAAAAATCCACGTTAGAATTCTTGGATGTGAAAGGACTTTTCGAAAGGTGACAATCGGTGTTTTTGTTACCAAAGCTTTTAACATATCTGCCAGTGTTCTTTTGTTTTAAGTAGCACCTTGTCTAAGACACTGGAATACCTTCCTTTCAATTACTAGAAAAACAGGCTACTGTCCCTGGGATTCTGGTTCAAGTCATGGTAGCAATGCTAATTGATGACAGTCATCTATATTTTCTTAAATGTTTTCATTTGCAGATGTCTTAATTGACATCCTTGTCCAGATAACATCTGTATTGTACCTTAAGGGAGATGCTATTGTTAGTTTTTCCTGCCTGTTTTATTTTTACAGTAAATTTTATGGGTTTGTAATCTGCACAGGTGTCTATGTACTTCTTGATTAAACAGTGTCATCTTTTAGTCATTGATATTTCTGTCAGTAACCTGTGGGCACAGCAGAACCCATCCAAAGACCCATAAGTTCCTAATTTCACCCTAACAGGTCTTTAATTGAAGCTCATGGTGGCAAATTAAGTAGTTCAGCGTGGCAGGGAGACAGGACCGGGAGTCAAAGGATCAGAGTTTTTAATTAGCCCAGGGGATTAGAGTAACTCTCTTTACTTATCTGCTTCTTAATTGCTTCTCTGTAAGAGGAACACATCAGATAAGATTTTCTGGTAGGTCCTGCAAGTTCAGAACTGCTGACTTGTTCTCCGAAGTAAAGACTCTTCTGAGAGAGTCAGACAGCACTTGAAGTTGTCCAGGGAAGGAAGTTGCCGTTTCTTGGTACTGCCCCATCTATGGGCCTGTGCAGCAGTTTCTCTTTCTGGAATGATTCCAGGTTGTCTTTTTCCTTCTGGTAGATGTTTGACTGGATCACACACAACAAAGGCCTGTTTCTAAACAGCTACACGGAGATCGGGACCAGCCACCCTCATGCCATGGAGCTCCAGACGCAGCACAATCACTTCGCCATGAACTGTATGGTAAGACACTCGGAACAGCTGGACCCGGCCACGTGACAGTGTTTTAGCAAATGGGAGGCATTTGGCAGATGCTGGGCTGGGCTCTCAAGGGGCCCTCAGAGTGGCTGTTGATTGTAGCAGCTGACGTTCACATGCAGGGTGTTCCCTAGGGTTCCATTGTCTCAGTATGCCACATTTTAAGTTTTAAACAAAAATGAAAACAAGCAAACAGATGAACCAGTGAAACTTGAACCAATGACTTGGCTAGTTCACCACAGACACTTCGGATGCCGGCTCCTGTGCTCCGCCTCATAGGAGCCCATGGGGGCCCCAGCAAAGCTGCTGGGAGGCACAATGGATCCCGCAGACGGAGCGCTGTCAGTTTCCTGGCTGCTGTTCATGACAGCGAAAGGAGCCAGCCTGCTGCTGACCTCAGGGCACTCGCTAGTTCTCCTGAGGCATGAGATTTCCTTCCGAGCTGAGCTGGAGTACTGGGGTCTGGCCCTTAGCCTTCCCTGGGATCCCCTGGCCCTCTTTAAGGTTGTTGCGTCTGCTACTCTTGGCTGTCGTGACTCCATCAGGATCTTAGAGGCCAGTTAGGGGGCGACTGTAGGACTACATCACAGAAACCAAAACCAAACCAAAACACTGAATTTTGAGTAGCACTTCTGTTACAGTTTTATAGTTAATATTACTAAAACTGTATGTTCTATAGGACATTTGCTTGATTCTGTAGTCTGTGAAGCTTCTAGAAATTTCCTCTTCAGGGACAAAGAGTTTTGGTTTGGACTTTAAGCCAGCCTTGTGAGGATTATCCACTCTTAAACCTTGTAACGTTTGTTGTAGAGCATTAAAGCAATATGAACCAGCCTGGGCAACACAGCAAGACCCCATCTCTAAAAATAAAATAAAATAAAAATAAAAAATTAGCCAGGTGTGGTGGTGCACGCCTGTAGTCCCAGCTATTTAGGAGGCTGAGGCTGGAGGATCACTTGAGCCCAGGAGTTGCAGGCAACAGTGAGTTATGATCACGCCACTGCATTCCAGCTTGGGTGACAGAGCAAGACCTCGTCTCAAAAACAAAAATACAAATAAAGTAATATGAAGACAGGGTTTTTGTTTAAGTTAATTCAGTAAGATGCCATTTAATTAAAATATAGTCAACTAGGTGCTATAATTTAGGTAGTTTCAAAGATAAGATTTTACAGTATAATTTTTAGCAATAAATGCCGCCAGAAAGTTTTACATCTGTTATAGAATTTAAAGTAAGAGAATTTCTGGTTTGAATCATCAAACCTGGGCATAGATAAAAATTTCTTTGTAAAAAATTGCTGTCAGTTTTTTTAGAATTTTCTGAAACTTTTGGCAAGAGACCATTCAGTCATGCCACATACTTTAAAAACTAGAAATACTAAAATATGTGCTAGAAATGAACAGAAAAATATATTCTCTCTTCCCCCTTTCTTCACCTTTATTAGTGGCAGATTTAGGACTCAAGGGAGTAGGAACCATAGTGTAGAAGACAGGAAAATGGGTTGCGGACGTAGAGGCTTTTAATTCTGAGTTTCTTATTTGCCATGTGACCTTGGGAAGGCTGTTTAACCTCTTTGAGCCTTAGTTTCCTAGTCTGTAAACTGGGGGTAATACCTGCCTTCCATGGTGTTACATGTATAGGTAAAATACAAAACATATTGCTCGACACGGAGTAAGTACTGTATAAATGTTAATTCTTACCAGTGATGTTATCAATATAATTAAAGATGCACTTAAAGCAGGTAAGAAACTTAAAAGTATGAGTTACAGCTATTTTTGGGGGGGGAGTTTGAGTATATTTTCTAATTTTCTACAATGTATTTCTGTTACTTTTCTAAGTCAAACTTGTAATACAATGCATGTGGGTAGCTCGGTGCTGTGATGGTGACACCTGCTGAGGAGCTTTCTGGACCAGGCCTACTCCTTGTGTTGAATACCTCCACGAATCCCTAGTATCTGTTACATTTAGTAATGCAGGGCAAGGGTATTTAACCTTCAGCTCCTTCTGCTCGCTGTAGTGTTTTGAATAATTTCTGACAAAATAAGGATACTAAATACCATTATGCCAAGTTAACAGCTTTTAAAGAAAGCATATTAAGGGATACCAACAATTATGCACGTTCTACTATAACAGATATTTGTAAAAACTATGATGATAAGAATGTAGGTGTGGGTACTTTTAATTTAGGGAATTGCACATTGCCATATTTATGTCCAGGCTGTAGATTTATGTGTGCTAGAAGTGATGGAGAGATGGAAAAAGCATCATACAAAGACTAGTAAAACCTGTTTTTCTATAAAAGTAATACAGGAAGCTGTAACCACCTAGGTATGGGTGAGTAGGGTCAGTGGTTGTCACAACAGAGCCATCCAAAGGGACTTCTCTTCTCCAGATCCTAACAGAGCACATCTTGTCCTTTTCCTAACAGACCTGTTGGACTGGCTTTTTCTCTTTTAAGGATATAGAGAAAGCAAAATTAGCAAATCTAGTTTCTTGTCACTTTACTAGGAGGGAGGAAAAGAGAGAAAGAATGCACTTGGGAATGGGAGGCCTTGCTTTTAATTTACCGGATACCAGTTAGAGCATTAATGCCACACGAGCCAGAGAGGTCACCTCACTGAGCATGGCTTGACTGTTGCAGCCTCTTTCTGCGACTCCAGACATGCGATGTCTGTTAGCTGATTCTAGCCTTCAGATGCAGCCTGGAGATGTAACCCTGAGGCTGGAGTCCTGTGGCTCTAATTCCAGACGGAGGCAACTCCACCAAGTTCTGGTTTGGGTCAGAAATAGAGGGAAAGGATGAATTTCAGGAAGATACAAAGAAAGAATGAACAAGTGAGTTCTTTCAGCCGCTGACTTGGGGGGACTGCAGGCAGCAAGGGACAGGAAGGAGGCTCTTGTGGGGTCCCTGTTCGAGGCAGTGGGAGATTGGCCCAGAGGGGTTGTGTGAGAAGTGAGAGAAGGGGGGAAAACGTAGAGGAGTTTGGATACATCAGGAAATCAGACTGGGGCAACATTGAGAGGAGCCAAAGATGTAGCTACGATTTTGGGGGACCCACGGGGAGGGGTGAGGTGGTAACAGTGCACAGAAATAATAAATACATGAACAACAGCAACTTCAGCAGATTTGCTGAAGGTCTGAATCCCCATCATCCACCACACCACACGATGTGATACTGAGCCTTAAAGAACCCTGGAGGTGGAAAGGGAAACTCCATAGTGAGAGCTTGTTCTGCAAAAAGGGTGGGTTTTAAAAAATCCCTGTTTTTGAAATAAACTGATAGACTCGAAGAGAGGAATTTTGACAGAGTAGAAAAGCTTTATTTAAAATTTGAGCATAGCATTGTTGTGTTTTTACTGCAGTTCATATTCCTGAGAGAAGGTGGATCTATTTACAGAGTATTTTCTGTTGGCACCAAAAAATGACTTGGGCGTATGTAGAAAGGAGAGCTTGCTTTCACACAAATAGCCTTTGGTTGCTAGGTATGTGTTTTTGGGTTTCTGGGTTCTAGTTAAAACCCAGAGCGCTGGGTCCCTCAGTTCTCCGTGACTGCCTGGCAGCAGGCTTGCCATCTGGACCCTGTTCAGTATTTGAAGCCAAGAAGTGAGTAATAGTATATTTGTGTGCACCCACTTGTGTATTTGATTGCTTTGTGCTGGACAATTCTGCCTTTCAGCTAGTTGATTTGTAATTTTACAGTTTTAAAAATAGAAATGGAAACCAATACTTCAAGTTTATGGAAATCTAGAGAGCAAATATATATAATATTATAAAATCAGGTGATGCTCCTGGGAAAGGTGTGATCACTGGTAGAAGCCTGTGTTTCAGCAGGTGGTATCTGGGCTTCTTAGAAGGGAGACTCTTATTTGCTCTCCCCTGAGGAGCCCTCTTTTCCTGCCCACTTTGCAGAACGTGTATGTAAATATAAACCGCATCATGTCGGTGGCCAATCGCCTGGTGGAGTCTGGCCACTATGCCTCGCAGCAGATCAGGCAGATCGCGAGTCAGCTGGAGCAGGAGTGGAAGGCATTTGCGGCAGCCCTGGATGAGCGGAGCACCTTGCTGGACATGTCCTCCATTTTCCACCAGAAGGCCGAAAAGGTCAGTGCCTCGAACCCCCAGCCCACGAGGTGGTAACCAGAATAGTTCTTCCTCCATGAATGTTGGTGTGTGTGCAAACACTCCTTTGTAGCACATACTGTGAGCTCCGCATGTGAGCTCTGAAGTCACTCGGCCCTGAGTTTGAATTCCAGCTCTCTTAGTCCTTGCTGCGCAACCTTAGGTAAGTGACTTAGCCTCTCCGGTTTGTTTTCTCATTTGTAAAGTAGAAATAAAAGTACCTGCTTGAGTGGACTGTTGATGTAAATGTGATGCTAGGTGCCCCACGCAGTGCCCAGCACGATAAGCACTAAGAAGTGGCAGCTGCTCTTCTCTTCCCCTCCTCTCCTGGCTCCTCCTTTCCTCTTATTCCTTGTTGATAGTGCTTTATTACTCCAGTTGGGATGCTTTGGCAGCAAGGAACAGAACGCCCATCAGTGGTACAGACGTCAAGGGTTTACTTTTCTCATAAACTGCGAAGTTCTAAGGCATAGGCACCTCCAGCTGCACGGCTACAGAGGGGTGGTGTCTGCCGCCCTCAGGCTTGCTGGGCCTCCCGTCACAGTCAGGGCAGCACACCTCAGCTCCACGCACCAGCTCCTCAGCCACAGCGCCCACCCTCCGCAGGGATGGCTGTAGCTGGTTTTGCCTGCCAGTTTATAAGGGAAGCATTTCCAGAGGCCCCGCCCCCAGCACACTTCCCCTCAGTTCCCACTGGCTAGTCTTTGGGTACACATCCATGCCTTGCTGCAAGGGGTGGGGGAAAGGGTGGATCTGGTGTTTAGCTGCCAGCAAGGGTGAGGGAGGAAAATGGCTTTTTGGGGTACACAATCGACAGTGTCTTTCATAATTACAAACTTAGCTACATGGCATCTGACTTTGGTTTCATTTGCTGACAGACGTGCTGTGTCAAAATTTCTAGTTTAAGAAGTAATGGGTAATATACGCCCCCAACACTCCCCACACCTCCACTTAAGCAAACTTGCTTAAATAAAAACTCTCTGAAAGTAGCAAAATGGAAGGGATTTGCTCATGACTCAGACTTTATTATTGGAAGGTGAGCAGCACAGTGAATACCTTTTCAAGATGGGGAAGAGGAAAACGGTTGCTTAATTTAAAAAGGAAGAATATCAGTGTATCTTCCTCAGGGTTAATTTTTGGGGGAAAGACTGCATTCAGGGATTTGCATGGATGCTTCTTAAAAAGGAAAGAGTATCTCTTTAATCTAGAAACAGTCTCTGTTGAAGAGTGAAGAAATCGATAAAGGAAGATAGAGGCCCCAGCTTGCCTAGGCTTTTGGCAGGGCGGCCAGAATGTTGCACAAGACACTAATTAGCAGTGATCTCAACTCTAGAAACCTTTAAAGTATAAAGCAAGAGAGGAAGCTGAGTGATATATAAAGAGAAGCAAACCTTTGTAGCATCATGTAAAAGCTGAGAGTTTCAATGGTAGGATTTTTCTGTTTTCTAACTTTATGCATTTGACTAATTTTGTGATAGAAGATAGACAAAAGCCCACACACAAAAACAACTTTTTAAAGTAACAGGAACTCCTTCAGCATAAATAGAACCATCGTCATGACCCTGTAGCCATCTCCGATCCTTATCGTAGTACAAAGTAGCAACACACTTGATCATTTGGCAGTAAGATGATATGAATGAATTTGAAGCAGGACAAGCTGCGTGGGTGAATGTTAGATAGGCTGAAGCGTAACACACAGAGAACATCTTTCATAAACATGACGGGATTCAGAAATATAAATAAACCCGGAGATTAATTGCTGCTGTGACCTGCCTGAAAATAATCTGGAAACATGGGTTCCATGGGGCATTTTCCTTCCAGTGTTTTATTATAAAAAATTTTAAACATACAGCAAAATTGAAAGCCTGGGGTATTCTCATCTGGATAAAATGAAAGACTGTAATTTATGGATTTGAAGGAAATGAAACTAGGCGAACACATTATTGAACAGAATTTCATAGGACGCTGCATAAACCGGAAGGAAGCCTGAAGTCTCAGTGCATATAAGGTGGCCAGAGAAGAAGCCAAATTCGAGCAAAGGGACAGTAATCTAATGAAGAAGGGGCCCAGCGTGCATTCTAGACCTTAACGAAGCAACAAGGCCTGCATGTAGACAGCTGAAATGCACAGATGGGAGATTAGGACGTCTTCAGAAAGACGGTCCTTACTTGCAAGTAAAAATGAATTGTATCTCATCCTCCCCCCCACTGAAGAAAAGTAAGATCCTTGAAATTCTGATGCTCATCACTAAAGTGGTTTTCTTTTCCCAACAGAGCAATCCCGAGTATAGGTCAACGTTGTTCCCTCATTTTAAATGGTTTGCCTTCTAGTTATGCTCAAGCTGTTTCCATAAACTCAGTCTGGAAAGGACCAGAAACTTGGACGTCCTAAGTAGGTTTCCATCATAGTCACCTCTTTGAATCACATCCAGAGTGTTCATTTAAATCTGAATTTAAATCTGATTAGGGGGACATAAGGCTCAAATATGTGACCCCATGGTTAATGAGCTTACTAATGGCAGCCGCCTTCTCTGTAAGGATTACATCTCTTAGCTGCACTGTCCAGCCCTGCCCTCTCTCTCCATGGGTGTTCTTATGCTAGCGTTTGCTGTGGCTTTATAAACATAACTCTGAAGTTAAAGCTAGATGAGAGTGATTCATAGATGGTATAACTTCCATAGATGTGTCAGCCAGTGTGTCTTGTGTCCTCATCTCCAGTGAAGGTGTGGGATCACAGTATCCGTTCACAAACATGTGGACACACAACCACAGTGTTAATGTTGTTACTGGTAGATGTTGCGTAGGCGCTTCAGCCTTCGCTTGTCTTGGTCATGTGCTATATCCACAGCACAGACCCTTTATATTAAGAAGCTTTCACAGCAAATACCATTAGAATTACATTTTTATAAAACAAAATGTCTTGATTTTGCTATAGCTTAAAATCGCCTTTTACGGTGACCTCAGGCTGCACTGCCCATTGTGATGGCCTGTCACCACGTGTGGCTGTTGAATCTACTCAGAGTTAAATAATAAGAGGATAAAATCATTTTAAAAATAGAATTAAAATAATAGTTGCTTATTCACCATATTGGGAGCAACACGTGGCCAGTGGCTACTGTACTTGGCAGCACAGGTACACATTTGTGTCCGCTCGGGTAGTGCTTGTAGAGGCTTACCTATGGAGTGAACCGCACGTCTGCTGAACACCTTAATTCATCTATGACTTTAGGCCTTCTGTGCTTGGATAATAACTGAAAATAAAGTAACAGTGTTTGTATAGTTCTTTAATTTTTAGAGAGCTCTTTAACATGAAATCTCATTTCATCCTTCAGTCAGCCCAGTGGAGTAGATGGGACTGTAATATTACTGTCCTGATAATCCGAATGGGGAGTGATTTGGCCGTGTTTCCAAAGCTAGAACTTTCGCTGAGGTCTATGGCTGGGTCTTTCAGTTCCTGACATAATAACAAACAATTTCGCACTTGCATTAATATTCTTATAAAAGTTCGCTTCCCATAAATATTTTTAGAATTAACATTTATTATAAACATGACATAGACGCAAGTTCTAAATCTAAGAAATTTCCGTCCCTTTGTCTCCTAAGTCCGGCTTAGTGCCTGTGCTCAGCTGAGGCTCCATCAAGAGGTGGCGGGGATGAGAGGTGGATGGAAGTGCAGTTCACTAGCTTCGAGGATCCCAGCTCTGGTTGGTGGGACCCAGAACAGGCAGAAGAAATGAGCGGCTCCCAGATCGCAGGCCCCCTCTGAGCAGACGGAGAGTAGTAGAGTAAATGCTTAGGAAAAACAATCTGTTAATTATTTATCCAAGTTCTCCTCTTAAAGCTGTGTATATGAATCACTGTTCCCTCCTCTGCTTGCCTCTGTTTTGCAAACTGGGTGATCCAGGCTTCCTTCATCGTTTATTCAGCAACACTTTCTTAATACCACCATTCTGCTCAGCTTCAGGATCCCCAGATCTGAAGTAGGCTCCTGATCTGAATTGACAGAGCAACATTTCATTCTCTTACACTCTCCGGCCTTCACCGCCAGTCCACCAGATGCTTTTTATTCACATATTTTGATTTACGGAGCACTTAAAGCATCAGATACTAAGCCAGCTGCTCTGATCTCATTAGACTGCAGTAGATACCTTCTGTCCTTCTCACCTCCTAAGTGTCAGGCTCTGTGCTAGACATGTTCCCCCAGCGTTGCAGTCCCAACCTGGGTTTCCCAGGATGGTAGCAGGTATGTGTTTATGTGTGTATCAGAGGGAGGGAAGTGCCAGGTGCCCCCTCGTATGATATCATTACCATATTAGAAGCTTTTCTATGAGATTCTGTTATGAAGGTACCTGTTGAATTTTGACACCAAACTTGATCTCAGGATGCTTCTTCTTCTTCGTGGAATGCCTGTTGACACCCTGTTCCTTGTTCCATGAATCTCTGAATGGGGATTGTTGTGCTGGTGCTGTTGGTTTCAGACCCTCTGGGCATTCAGCCTTTCAGAAAACAATCAGGCCTAGAGCTTGCTCTGTGGAGTTTAGGGTTGTGTCTTAGAAATAAAGAACAGAAATGATGCTATGCAAAACCCTCTGTAAAACCATGGCTAGGATTATTTCTTTTCTTTTCTTCTCTTCTCTTTTTTTGAGACACAGTCTCGCTCTGTGGCCCAGACTGGAGTGCAGTAGCGCAGTCTCTGCTCACTGTAAGCTCCGCCTCCTGGGTTCACGCCATTCTCCTGCCTCAGCCTCCCGAGTAGCTGGGACTACAGGAACCCACCACCTCGCCAGGCTAATTTTTTGTATTTTTAGTAGAGACATGGTTTTATTGTGTTAGCCAGGATGGTCTCAATCTCCTGACCTCGTGATCTGCCTGCCTCGGCCTCCTGAAGTGCTGGGATTAGAGGCGTGTGCCACCACGCCTGGCCTTGCTAGGATTATTTCTATCACTGGGCTGTTACTAACCCAGAAAAAGGGCAGAATCCTTTGTCCACAAGGTTTTCGTGTAACACACCATCCTTCCCTGGATGTATTTTTTCAGAGAAGTATAATCAGTGCCCTCGGTGGCTCAAGCCTGTAATCCCAGCACTTTGGGAGGCCGAGGCGGGTGGATCACGAGGTCAGGAGATCGAGACTATCCTGGCTAACATGGTGAAACCCCGTCTCTACTAAAAAAAAAATACAAAAAACTAGCCGGGCGTGGTGGCGGGCACCTGTAGTTCCAGCTACTTGGGAGGCTGAGGCGGGAGAATGGCGTGAACCCGGGAGGCGGAGCTTGCAGTGAGCCGAGATCACGCCACTGCACTCCAGCCTGGGAAACACAGCGAGACTCCGTCTCAAAAAAAAAAAAAAAAGAAATTATAAGTTAGTTCTAATTACAGGAATATGTAAAACTTCTTGAATGTTTTTTTCTTTATTGGTTGTTGCTTCAAAAATTAGAGTTGAATATACTGTAGTGATTTTGATACAGTGATATGTTAGTCTGATGCTTCTGTTCATTAAATTGTGAAGTATTATATAACAAATGTGTTTCCACCGTGTTCTGTCAGAAGTGTTTTGATCTTAAGAACATGTTGCAACTCCTCTTGGTTTTGGATGTTCTGCAGTGGCCATTGTCCCGGAGCACTTAATTGCTGACTTAGACCTGATGATTTATTAATGACGATGGTTAACCTCAATCAATTTGTGTTTGAAAAACACGATAATTTAATAATTGGTATTAAATGCAATAAGGGAAGATGATAGAGAGAAATAGAGCTCAGAAATAGTGACAGTCATCTGACCTGACCAAATTGACATTTATGGAACATGCCACCCAAGAAATACTCAGTTGACACTAATGCCATATGAATTGACCTCAAGCCCTAAGGTCTGCATAGATATTCTTCTGCACTCAATAATAAAAGGATTTTCATCAACAGTTATTATTTGGTTGACTTGTCTATTTTAATATCCTAAAAATGAACTGAGAGTTTGTTCTTACTATATTTTAAGGTAATTATAGCACATTTCTTTTCTGGCCAGTCGAGTATTGCATTTCAAATAGTCATGCTCTGCATTCCCTGCTAAGTAAATAGATGTGTGAGGAACAGGAGTAAAGAGGTTAAAACCAAGGGAAATGTGTTGATGTCTGTTTGGCTTAATTGAATTAGCTTTTTTAACTGGGCCTTCTGCACTTGCCTTTCACTCTTAACTGTGATGGATTTTGATAGGATCTCCCTAGGAAATTTGGCAGTGATTTCTCAGCCATTGATGCATCCCGAAGATGGGTGGCAGTGGAGGAGATTGAGCCAGGATCGGGATGGCAGCCGCAGGACCGTTGATGGGTCCTGGAGATGGAGGGTGGCAGTGGAGGTGATTGAGCCAGGATCGGGATGGCAGCCGCAGGACTGTTGATGATCCTGGAGGTGGAGGGTGGCAGTGGAGGAGATTGAGCCAGGATTGGGATGGCAGCCGCAGGACTGTTGATGATCCTGGAGGTGGAGGGTGGCAGTGGAGGAGATTGAGCCAGGATTGGGATGGCAGCCGCAGGACTGTTGATGATCCTGGAGGTGGAGGGTGGCAGTGGAGGTGATTGAGCCAGGATTGGGATGGCAGCCGCAGCGCTGTTCGCATGGCTCAGGCTTTTCTCATTTCTGTGCAAATTGGGAAGGATGGGAATGATGCCTCTGCCTCCTTAGGCCTTTCCTAAGATTCACAGAGAAGTTCAGGCCCTTTTTTCTTGGTCTCCTTTTAATTCTGGTGTCAATTTCCTTTTGAAACAGTAGCGGAATGGACTGGCTGCTTTTCCTTATTTCAGATAAATTATTTTTAGATATCTGGAACTTTTTCATTACATCTCAGTGTAAAAGGAACAGAGTAAGACTGACAAGTAGCTGCAAGGAGAAGGAGCATCCTGCTGTTGAACCCTAGTTAAGGGGTACGTGGGAGAGTCATCTTTCTGTCCTCCCTTGCTAGGAGTACAGGGCAGTTGGAAACGTGGATTCAAAGGTGGATTGGGAAAATTTAGCAGAAAGCCCAAAACAGGGCTGCATTGTTCCAGGGGCACACCCAGACCTGGGCAGCAGTCAGTTGAGGCATTCATCTGAAATGCGGATTCCTGGGACTCGCCCCAGTCCTGCTGAAACCCACTCTGGGAATGGAGTCCAGCAGTCTCATGTGAGTTGAGGATGCCATTTGAGATGGAGAGTCAACCATGTTACATTCTTAGGATCTCCGTCAACTCCCCTAGTTTTCAAAACCATGTTAAAAAATGTCCACTTTTCAATATAAATTGTCATTGATAGAAATAATCTTCTTTTTAACCTTCCAAGTATATGAGCAACGTGGATTCATGGTGTAAAGCTTGCGGTGAGGTAGACCTTCCCTCAGAGCTGCAGGACCTAGAAGATGCCATTCATCACCACCAGGGAATATATGAACATATCACTCTTGCTTACTCTGAGGTAAGTGGTCAATTTTACTTACATTGCAAGGCAACATCATTTTTGCATCATAGTACACCAGAAGCTAGAAAAAAAAAAGTTTTGGGTAGCCCAGAAAAAGCTTACAGATTTTGAGTTAGACTGCAGTTTAATTGTTTAGCATTTGAACCCCTGTGTGTGGGGGGTGGGGTGGGGCGCTAGGGGACCAGAATGGTGTGCAGGCAGTAGCCTTTCCAACAGCGTGCTTATATGCTCATCTGCTACAGTCAAGAAAAGCCTAGTCTTTTTTTCTACATGTGTTTAAGAAATGTGTATTTTGTGTGCTCTTCCGTCTAGTCAAACTCAGTTTAATCTTCCCGAATAAAACCTTTTAGAGAAGATGGTCTGGATTGCAAGGTACACATCTGTCTATTTTAAGAACTCTAAGTGTAGGATTTTCTTTATTACTTTAGGGTATATTACATTATTTACTTAATGAATCCCTGTTTTATTTTCTGCCACCTTCTATGCCAGACTGTGTTGTAAGGACTTTATGTAATGACTGACTTAATGCTCACATACTGTATCTGTCCCTGCTGTTACAAATGAAGAAAATGAGTCACGGAGATAAATGACTGTGCCAGGTCAGCAGCTGGTGGAACAGGGTATGAGCCCAGGCAGGCAGGCTCCATGTTCTCAGTCACCACCCTCTGCCTCCTCTGTGCCCGACCACGTGGTAGCTGCTTGATGACGCAACTTTAGATGGGTTGACGAGTACCACCCTTGCCCATGCCTTGTTTATCTGGCCCTTGAGACCATCCTGCCTTTGTGATAATAGTTACGTTCCCAGAGGTGAAAGCGAGGGGCGTAGAGAGGAATTGTGTGTGCTTACTTTTCTGTAAGGTTTTCTCCCTAAGAAGCATCTATATCTACAATGTTCTATGTTAATATGAAAGATTATCGTAAGGCTTCTGTAAGAGTTTCAAAGCACCTGGAAGACTGCTGGGCAGTGTAGATGTTTAATAAATGCTGTTTGTGTTTAAATCTAAATCTTGATCCAAACACATCCAAACTTGTCAAAGTTGTTGGGAAGAAACTGGCTATTTGCATTTCATTCTGACATTTCCTGTTGTGCTTCACTGCCCAACTGTCACTCTCATGTCCTTGGGCCTGGCTCTGTTGACGTCCTCGTGTCCATGAGCGAATTAAATGGACGCGTGATTTGCTGCTACAGTTTTGTATCTCATAAAGATGTTTTGATCAATGATGGACTGCAAATAAGAGGGTGGTCCTGCAAGATTATAATACTGTATTTTACTGTACTTTTTCTATGTTTAGACACATACATACTTAGCATTGTGGTACAGTTGCCTGCAGTATTCAGTACAGTAACATGCTGTCCAGGTTTGTAGCCTAGAGCAGTGGGCTGCTCCAGATAGCCTAGGTGTGCAGTAGGCTGCATCGTCTAGCTTTGTGAAAGTCCACATTGTGATGGCCACATAAGGACGAAATTGCCTAGTGATTCGTTTCTCAGAATGTGTCCCTGATACCACGTGATATCTCACCGTATATTTGCTTCAGAATCTGGGCAGGTCTTCTCTTTCCCGTGGCAGTTGATATTTGTTTGTTTCTCTAGCCACCTTTGCCTAATAAGATTCAGTTTTTTTCAAGCAGCATTTCATGTTGCCTATGGAATTTAAAAAGTCAACTCTGGATTTTTTCTTAGTTTTGCACAAATGTTTCTTAACTAATTTGGTTGCCTGGTCTGTTAGAAACTATTTAAGTGATAGCCTTTTCTATAGTAAAACTGAAAATTGAACACATTTATAATTTTTTTAATCACATTGGCTCATGAGGATTATGTCACTTCTAAAAACCATCAAGTTCTTTCCCCTGATGTGCCATCTCTATACATTGCCTAATTTTGACCTGTAACACAGAAAGCAAATGACCCTGTTACTCACACGTGTAATGAGGCCTTCACTCATCTGCTTATGTGAATCTCTTGCTTTGGAGCTGTTCTTTGAATGCAGTGGTGGGCTTGCAGCCAGCTGTCTGCATGCCCTTGCCCTTGCCAGACCAAGATGGGATTGAATAGCCTTCATTCACAAGATGATTGGCAGGCCCTGGGAGTACAGTCTTTGTGCATAACTTAAATCAGAATCACTTTGACCCAGCCAGTGTCATCCTCCAGCCAAGCTGGCTCTTTCAGTCTGCTTGTTGCTCTTGGCAGTTGTCTTTAAGTACAGCATCTCCTAACTGTTACCAGTGCATTCTGTAAAAATGGGGCATCTTGACACAGGAACTTATATTTACCTGTGGTGCAGTTTTATTTGATTTACATTGGTACTAGTATCTCAAAATAATTTGACAGGAAGTAAACAGCCTCTCAAACTGAGGTCTTAGATGGAATTTTAGCCTAAGAACATGTTTGCGACTGAGCTATAAACTCAAGGAGACAGTAATTTGAACTGGATGAACCGAAAGGATTTTCAGTAGAACAGAATGAATTATTTTGCCTCTTAAATTATTTACATTTTGAAATAGTTTCAGGGCTACAGGAAAGTGGTAGAATAGCACAGAGAACTCCTACATTGCCTCCACCCAGATTTTCCAAGTTTTAGAATTTCGCCACATTGCTCCACCCTCTCTCCCCACTGCTTCTCTCTCCAGTCACCAAAGCACCATTGATACAACATGACCATCCTATCCACAGACCCTGATCCTATTTCCCCAAGTGTTCCAACGATGCCCCTTTCTCTTTCCTGGTCTCGGACACTGTCCAGCAATATGCGCTACATTTAATCACCATGTCTTACCAATCTGTCTCCTTTAAAATGGAACATTCTTTAGTCCTTCTCTGCCTTTATGTCTTTGACATACTTAAAGAGTACAGGCCTTTCATTCTTTAGATGGCCCTCTATTTCTGGTTGCCCCCAGTTCTCGTGGGCTGACTCAGGCTGTGCCTTTTTGGCAGTGCATGTCTTTCTCTGGGTGTCATCGCAGTGGACACGGGATACTGACCTCTCCAGCTATGAGTAGTGTTCATCTTGGCCACTTGGTCAGATTGGTGTCTGCAGGGTTTCTCCAATGCACAGTCACCATTTAAAAAATTAGTCTTTGCTGCACATTTTGTGGGCAGCTCCTCTAATAGAATACCAGTCTCTGTTCCTCATCAGACTTCTCATAGCCATAGTTTCCACTGAGGATTTCTGCCCATAGCAGCTACCACTGTGATGATGATCACCTATTTCCATTATTCCTTCTGTATTTATTAGGTGGCTTTCTACCATAAGAATGAGCTGTATTTCCTTTCTCTCTTGTTTGTTTCTATCAGTATGAATTTATGAAATCTTCCTATATCAGTCGGTTATAATTTGGTACTCTGTTTTGATTCCTAAATTGTTTAGACTTGGCCAGCAGGAGCTTTTTTCTGTGTCTTTTTGATCATCCTTATTGTCCTTTGAGCACTTGTTCCTGGCTATTTTGTACTTTCCCTGCCTACCCTGGGATCACTCGTCTCACTAAGTGGGGTGGTTCCTTATAGTATTGTATGGTCTTTAGAATTTTAAAGACCTGGGTTCTCAGAGTTTTGTTTGTTTGTGAGGTGTCACTACTTCTGGGCCCTCTTAGCAGACAGAGTTAGGAAACATATGAATGCCATCCATTCACCCATCCATCCATCTATCTATACATGCATCTATCCACCTAACCACCCATTGTTCATCCACCCAGCCACCCATCCGTCTACCCAATCACCCAGCTACCCATCCATTCACCCACCTATATCCATCCTTCCATCCATCCATCTATCCACACACCCAGCCACCCATTCTTCTGTCCATCCATCCATCCATTCATTCACCCATCCATTCTTCCATCCAACCATCCATCCCTCCATTTATCCAATCACCCATCCATTCTTCAGTCCAACCAATTACCTAACCACCCATCCATCCCTCCATCCATCTACCCTCCCAACCCCCATCCATTTATCCATCCATCCACCTAATCACCCAACCACCCATTCATCTGTCCATTTATCCAATCGTTCATTCATTAGTGCATGCATTCATCCAGCCAATCACCTAACCATCCACCAACCACCCATTCATCATCCATCCATCATCCATCCTCCTAATCACCCAACCACCCATTCATCTATCCATCCATCCATCCATCCAGTTACCCATCCATTCATCTATCCAACCACCCAACCACCCATCCACCCATCCATCCATCCATCCACCCACCCACCTACATTCATCAATCTACCCATATCCATGCATCTGTCGTATCACTCAATTGCCCATCCGTTCACCCAGTCACCCAACCACCCATCCACATCTGTCTAGTCCATCTGTCCATCTACCCAATCACCCAACCACCTATCCATATACCCAGTCACCCAACTGTCCATCTGTCCACCCCATCACCCAACCATCCATCCAACCACCCAGTCACCCAACCACTCATTCATTTATCTATCTATTCAACCACTTATCCACCCACCCACCCATCCACACGTGCACATACACGTCCATATAAAATTACTGCTGTATCTGTCTGTATTAAAAATACATGTGTTTGTACATTTCGAATCCAATACCTCAGGCTTCTTTCCATCCTTTCCCTTTCTAAGTTTATTAATCTGTTGTCAGGCAGCAAGAAACCTGTCTTCTTTTGTCCTTAATGTCCTTAATGTCCTTAATTTGCTCCATTTCCCAACCATTCTGTCTGGGTTCTCCACCTCCAACCCCTACTACCCACTCACTTAACCTGGTGCAGTGACACCTCTGTTGGCACCTCCACCCCTCACTTCCTCAGTTTCTTCATGCCAAGAGGGAAGGTGTCAGGAAGATGGGAAGGGAAGGACTGCTTTTGTTTTTTAAGTGATTTTTATTTTATATTCCTAAATCAGTGGTTTGCAGACTTGAGTATCTTGGTTTAAAATGCAGCAGTACTCTACCCCAGAGATAGTGAATCTCCATTTTCAGAGGCCTTCTCTACTGCTGCAGCGACTGATGCTGATGGTACATAGA